TTCCCACCAGCTAGGTACCATGTTCCACCACTTTCAGGCTTCCTCTGTTAGTTCCGATAGACAGTAGATAGGTTCATCAAATTTAGGCCAGACTTCTGGCTCCTTCTGTTTACTTTCCAGCAGTGATAGTCACGTAACAGTTTTAGTCTGTCAAACTGAAAACACACATCACTTTTTCTTTCCTCCTGAATTTGTTACTGTAGATGTTGTAGTTTAATTGCTTTATATGTTTTTGCTAATTTCAGGACCCAGAGGCTCCAGGAAGAAAAAAATAAAAAAGTGACTGAGGCTCTTAGGAGAAGGGAGCAGAACATAAAGAATATTGAAGAGAAGTATGAACAAAAGCTCAAGAATGAACTTCAAAAGTAATTGGCAATTTTAAAGAAATAGTATATTTGAATTAAGTTGTAGAGAACATGACAAGAACTGATGAAGTAGAGAACACTAACATAGTGCTTGAAAAAAATACTAATTTTTCATCTATAGTTAATCATTTCCTGTGAGTCTTTGAGTTAAGATAGTTTAAAAAAAATTTTAAAGAATTGTTTATTATTTATTTATTTAAATTTGGCCAGAGAGAGAGAAGGAAAGTAAGAAAGCAAGCCACCAGGTCCCGGACTCAAACTGAGGTTGGCCATGAGGAAGTATCCAGCACCTTAACCACTGCACCACCTGCTGGTCCCAGAAGAGTTTTAATTAATTAATTTTTTTAATTGCCAGAAGGCACATGTACTTACCAGAGAAAGAGAGGGCATGTGTGTGCATAACCCCCTTCCCATGGGGCGTGGTCATGTGTTGCAATCCTTTTTCCTCCACTTGTCCATCCCATCAGGATTTTGAACTCATGTGGACATGTGGCTGGTGAGTTTTTCAAGGCCCTGGGGCTGGGAATTGATCCACAGTCAACCATGCGGTATCGGGCACCCCATGCATAATGCTTAACTGCTGTACTCTGGGATTGGCCCAAGTTAGGATAGTTTTTTAAAGATCTGTTATAGAGAGGTGCATCCTCTGCTTTCCTCCTCATGACCTCTCTTAACATTTATTGAGGGCCTGTGATTATCTTTAAGTTTTGGAGCTCCTTATGACTCGCTCAGCTCGCACAGCTGATAAGCTGTAAAAGTAGACCTATAATCTCTTTCAGTTATCTTTTCCTCTGCCCTGTTCATGCTGCCACTTAGATGAGCTATTCAATGATTTGTTATAAATGATTCTACTTAGTGGTTATAGTATTTGTCAGTGAACATATGCCTTGTGTTCCTTTAATATTCTACAAAGCCAGAATCAAAAGTAATGAACTAAAATTATGTGAAGCTAAAAGTGATACAGGAAAGGAAAATATGGTTAATATGGATAACTATGGTTACTTGGCCTCCTGGCCTTTTTTTTTCCCCCTCCCCTTTTTTAGGTTTTTGCTATAGGGTGCATGTGCTCACCAGAGAGAGACAGAGAGAAAGTGAAAAATCACCCCTCAAGGGCATGTCCACGCCATAATCCTGTTCTCTTCCATTCTCTTCTCAGGATTTTGGGTGCACATGCACCCAGTGTGATTTTTCAAGCCATGGGGTCTGGGACTTGAACAGTGGTCAGCCATGTGGGAGTCCCATCTTAACCACTGTGCTAGCTACTGGCCCCACTTTGGCGTTTCTATATTCCAAGTTTGGTGTACCAGTGGGTATCATCTCAGTGTAAAGCTATTAGGCCCCTAGGATGATTGTTTCTCACCAGTGGGCAGCATAGCATCTGACATCTAAGTGCTCAGTTAATCTTTCTTGAATTTATACATGTGTAGTGAGGAGATGGCTTTACTCAGTGGCTCTGGGTATTTCTTAAATCACTGCCTTGCCCATGGTTTGTTACTAGGATTCAATTATGTAGTACTTGTAGAAGTTTTTTGAAGTTGTTCTTTAAACAAATTCTGTTAAAAATGAAATATACAACTTTTCCATCTATCAGTTTTGAAACGATGGATTTTTATCCACATACTTTATGGCCACCCCTGGACTAAAGGAGCCAACACTGAAGTATCTGTAGTTAAACTTTTAGGAATAAATGAATAAAAGTATGTATTTTAATTTTACTTGATTATGGAAATTATGAGCTATTTAGCAACGTTTTGATATCCTCCGTGGCCTGGGAGACTTGGCTTTGGTGAGCCTCATATGACTTGGGCCATCGTAGACATTTGGAGGATATTTAACCCAGGAGTGTTTTTCTGTCCTTTCTCCCACCTCTGAACCAGAAGGGCAGCTGGTAACCATTGGTGAAGATAAGTAAAAACTCTAGGACCATGTGCCTTTTGGTAGCACTAATCTGGATATAATGCTGCTGGCAGTTGGCTCTCAATACTTGCATAGTCCCTGAGGACCGAAGTTCTTCTGGTTATGGGTGGGGAAATGGGACAGGTGTGTTGACGTGACTGGCTTGTGGTTATTTGGGATTCAGAGAGTCTTGTGTGTGCTGTGGGAGTTTAGTTTAATTTACTCTCTTCTTTGTGTCAGTCAAGATCAGCTGAGAAGTAATTGCTTTCAGTAATTTTGTGATAACACAACCCTTCCTTTTGTGTGATTGCGTTTTGGGACCCAATTTACCAGATTGAGGCAGGGTTTTCCTGGATCTTTTATGTTCAGAATTCTGACTCCTGGACTTAAGGAATCAGACTGACTGAAAGATTTAAAGTTTAGGCATTGTCACGTTCTGTGCTCCTTGGTGCCCCTCTGTCATAGATAAGTTTGTGTGTTGACAATGGTCTTTCCAGGAAGGCACTGGGAACTCATTTGTGGTCATTCTGATTCTCAGGTATCAACTTGAACTGAAGGACGATTACATCACTAGGACAAATAGATTGGTGGAAGATGAAAGGAAGAATAAAGGTGATTCTGGGCGGGGGCAGGGGGAAGGTATATTTTTTTACTTCTCATGTTGGTTATAGCTGAGTCTATTCTTTATTCTAAAAATACATATGTGTGTGTGTATTTATATGTATTTTTAGATATATATTTTATATATATACATAGTTTATACTTCATTGTTACTACAAAGTTAAACATTTTTTGTAGTTTTAGTTTTGCAAAATGAAAAAATAAATCATTGTCTTTCACCACCTTTTTGTAAACTCTGAAGTTTAATATTTTGTGTGTTCATGAAGGCCAGTGATTTTTATCAATATTTTATCCAAATTTATTCAATATATTTTGGGAACAGCAGTTAGCATAATGACTATGTCGCTGGACTCCCATGTAGTCGATCGCGGTTCGCGTCCTGGACCCGGTGGCTTAAAACTCACACCAGGCGCATGTACATGTGTGCCCAAGATCCCAAGAGGAGAATGAAGGAGAAGGGATTGTGGCGTGGCCATCCCCTGTGGGTTTGATTTCTCACTTTCTGTCTCTCTGTTTCTCTCTTGTCTGTCTGGCAAGTGCACGCGCCCTGTAGCAAAAACCTCTCCAAATTTATTCAATATATTTTGACAAATACATCCATGACTGTCAAGAAGGTAGTAGCAGCTTACTGCCATCTAGTCAATTTTACTTTTTTTTTTTTAAAGAGGAACTTTTTGCTATAGGACACCTGTGCTTGCCAGAGAGACAGAAAGCAAGACATTACCCCAAGAGGGAGTGGCCATGCCGCAGTTCCTTCTCTTCCATTCTCCTCCCAGGATCTTGGGCATACACGCACATGCACCTGTTAGGAGTTTTAAGCTGCTGGGTCCAGGAGCCAAACCGTGGTTGACCATGTGGGAGTCCAGCGATGCAACCGTTACACCATCTGCTGGTCCCTCAATTTTACTCTTAATTGTGAGAGACTTTATTTTTTTTACTTCTGGGAAATTTTATTTTAAATTTTCTGTCCCTTGCGACCTAGTTTCTTAATTCATTATGCTGTTTTTTCTTGACATATAAATGCCTAAGTCCTTATATATGTCAGCCTGAGACTACAGAAGTTGAATACATTTTAAATCTTCATACATTTTACATTTCTGTATATTTCTAGGAAATTGCCTATAGCTATTATAAAAGGCAACCTTGAACTTTTGATGGCAATTTCAAATGGATTCTTGGGGGGTAAACCAGGTCTGGGTCTTCGGTATTGACCAGTTATCCACTGACTGGTCCTTTTGCTACCCATTTCATGGGAAGTAATACTTCTTTGATGAATTAGTACCATCGTATATTTAGCAAGGTATGTTTTGATGATAGAACTACATGGACTTGTGTTAGATGAAATGAAAACTATAAAATAGCAGACCAACCTTTGCCTTTAAGGAAATTAAGAGCCTTCAGCATTGTGGCCTGTGTTCTGAGTGATGATATAACATTGGTTAGCATGCATAGCAGGTGGACTTTTAATCACGTGTGTACCTGACAGTTATAACTCCACATCACCCACGTCACCCATTGAGTAACAGGGTTATTTCTTATTTGCCTGATAATTTTTTTTTTGAGAGCTTTTTTTGCTATAGGGCGCGTGCGCTCGCCAGACAGACAGAGACATAGAGACAGAAAGCGAGAAATCACCCCCCTGGGGGGATGGTCACGCCGCAATCCCTTCTCCTCCATTCTCCTCTCGCGATTTTGGGCACGCACGCACACACACGCCTGGCGTGAGTTTTAAGCCGCCGGGTCCGGGATGCGAACCGCGGTCGACTACGTGGGAGTCCAGCGACATAGCCGTTAGGCTAACTGCTGGTTCTCTTTGCCTGATAATTTTTGACCACCCTCCCCAAACAGACACACACACATCTACTATTTTATCTATATATTGTTTGTTATTTGTATCATCAGTGGTGCATGCACTAGCCAGAAAGAGAAAGCACCCCCTAATAGGTCACAGTCATGCCACAATCCTTCTTCCTCCATTTTTCTATCCTGTTAGGACCCCGGTCATGCATATACATGTGCGTGGCATATTTTTCAAGCTGTTGAGCCCAGGAGTCAAACCATGATCACCCACACGAGACCTAGCTCCCAGTGCACAACACTTAACCACTGTTCAATGGGCTAGCTCTCTGCTGTTTTAGATTATGAAATAATGTCACTAGGTCTGATATACTGTTCATAAGTTATTAAATGGCTTTTGTATTCACTAGGAAAACGTGTTTAATTGGTGGGTTCTTTCCTTCAGAAAAAGCCATTCACTTGCAAGAGGAGCTCACAACTATTAATTCAAAAAAGGAAGAACTCAATCAGTCCATAAACCGTATGAAAGAACTTGAGGTAATTGTTAAGCCTTTTGTTTTCTTTATGTAGACTTTAGGCTATATGTGAAATTTTAGTTTTAGTCATAATTACTCTCAAGTTATCCTCTTGATAGTTTTGCACTGTTTATTATGTGACTAAAAGGGAATGGCAGAAGTTAATTCAGTAGTTCTTAATTTCGATCAAAGCCACGTAGGAAAATACAGAAAGAGCTCTGGGAACTAGAGCCCTGCTCACAATTTGTCTCTCTCCCTTAATGCTTGTGTACCTTCTTTGGGTAAGTTTTCTGACCTCAAATTGCCAATCTATAAAGTTTGGGATGCTTTCTACCTCATATAGCTGTTGAAGGGATCCAGAGAGCTGCCCTATGTGCTTGGCCCATAGCAGGTTGCCAAGCCATACTAGTTTTTACCTCAACCTTTTCTGTTCCATCAGCAGCAGGTAAAAATGCCTGTCATTATTACATCATTACCTTAGAGATGAAAACAGAGTGAAGCAGGTTTGTTACACCACCACTGTTATGTTACTTCTCTGCTTACTGTGCTTGCTGTCTGAATGAAGAGCTGGAACTTGAGGTGCTTAAAATATATTCTGAATGTAAAATTAGTTGTTGCAATCATACTGACTGACTTGAGAACTTTGTAGGCTTCTGCACCCAAGTATGAAAGGTATTATACTAGGGAAAGGGAAGCCCTTCACAGCATGTTCGAGGTTATATCTCACCTTTCATATTTTAAAAAATGTATTGCTACAGTGTGATTGTTAACGAGCCCTTGGTTACTTCTGGAAAATGGGATGACCAAAGCACTCGCTTCATAGGACAGGGTTCCACAGGATTCAAGTTAGATGAACCTCCCGTGTGCCACCTCTAAAGCAGAAGATGACTTTTTTTTTTATTATTGTAGTTAGAGCCCTGTTGTGAAGAACATGAACTCTGTACAGTGACCATAATTAAATTATCACACCCAGCTTACAGTAGCCTGGCAGCTTTTACTTTTGCAGTCCTGTAAAATCAACTACGTTTTTGTTTTCAATTTCAGCTTGAGTTAGAGTCGGTCAAAGCCCAATCTTTGGCAGTGACACAGCAAAACCTCATTTTGAATGAAAAGGTTCAAGAGATGAGTGATTATTCACTACTAAAAGAAGAGAAAGTGGAGCTTCAGGCACAAAATAAATTACTTAAACAACAACTGGATGAGGCTAGAAATGAAAACTTGCGTCTCCTAAACCGTATGTCATCTTTTCTGGTTGGCGTATTTTTGTAATTCATGCTAAGTCAATATTATAAAACTCTGCTTTCTACATGTAAGAGAGACTTAAATCAAGAAGATTTTTTAAGATGCTCAAATCGGAATTACTTTGTTTATATTTGCAGTTATGTAATTAATGGTGTCACTGTAAGAAGGAACATTTTTTAAGTGTGATTCGCCTCTCTAGATGGTGTCAGGGTTGCCTTGCCCTTTGACTGCTGATCCGGTTTGGCCAGGGAGCGCTGGGAGAAGGGCAGTTTGTTCTCCCTCCCACCCCCTACAGGCCCACCTCTCAGCCAGAGATCATAGCACTTACTGGATGGCCTCACATTGCACTCCATGCCTGTATCAGCTCACCCCCCTTAGTTCTGGGCTCTCCTATAGTCCTCCATGGACAAGGGGGTTCTAACCACATGGCTCCATTACTAGCTCAAGGAACTATGCCATCCTTGTGGTTGGTTACTGGCATAAGTTACCCCTTTTCTTTGTGGGGGGTGGGTAAGTCAGCTTTATTGGCACGGAGAAGGCTAAGTCCTTCTTGGCAGCCGCTTTCCGCATGGCGGCCAGGACGTTGCTCAGCTTCTGGCACTTCCTCTTGGCACGGATGTGTGTCCCCACCTGCTTCTTGATGAACTTGAGGACGCGCTTGTCCTTGGACACCTTGAGCAGCTCCACGGCACGCCGCTCATGGGGGGTGAAGCCACACACCTCCCGGATCATGTTGCACACAAACTTGGTGTGCTTGGTAAGGCGCCCGCTACAGCAGCTGTGCCTTGGCTTGCTCACGTTCTTGGTCATTTTGTAGTCCTTGTTGAGGTCCACAGCCATGGGGTACCACAGAGCCATGGCTGCGGCTCTCCAGTGACTACTGAGGCGGAAGGGGATAAGTCACCCTTTTATCAAAGGGCCTTAGATGGTCTGAATTGAGGATGCAATCTGCTTTCTGCCTGGACCCCACCTGCAGCTGACTATTACTCAGATGGGTTGGAATTTGGAGCAGTCATCCCTGTAGCCAGATAGAGAGCTGCTTCTATGCCTTCTGTGCATCGTAGAGGAGAGAGACAGGCTTTCAGGATAGTTCGAGGATTTGAAAAGAGTATTTTACTTGGAGTAGGACGACTAAGAGTAATAAAGTTTATGCTAACATGCTTTAAGTTCTTTATTTCTGAAACTTGTGAATCAGGATTAATCTTAGTTCATTTAATAGAATTAATAGAATATTAATTGCATGAATATAGACAAATGGAAAAATCATTTAAAACTTCTTTAGTTGCTTTTGTTAAGTGAATTGAAAAAGTGTAAGGTTGATAATGAGTGGTATTTTTTTTTTTCCTTAGGCTTAGCTCAGCCAGCACCTGAGCTTGTGGCTTTTCAGAAAGAATTAAAGAAAGCAGAAAATGCTATAACACTTGAGCATAAGGAGTTCGAAAGCCTCAGGCAAGCCCTACAAAAACAACTGCAAAGCGAAGTGAGTATTGCTTGTTGCTTGTGCTAGTATTATGTCAGTCCACTTTGTAGTTATGTAAACCTGGCAGGCACACCGGAGCAAACCAACCCATGAAGGTTACTCCTGGAAATGTGGTCAATTTTTTCTCATCTGAAAAAATTCTCCCATGATTATATTACTTTATATTTATAATAGCAACAAAATTGAAAGGAAAGCAAACTCACCTAAACAGAAATATTCTGGATGCCTGACCGTGCCCCCTGTTAACGTGATTCTCACCTTGACACTTTACCTTTTTTTTTTTTTACTATAGGGTGTGAGTGCTCACTGCAGAGAAACAGTGAGCATTTACTCCCCAAGGGAGGGGTGAATTATGGCCACTTTGCAGTCCCCTCTCCTCCATTCTCAGAATTTTGGGCGTGTGCCTGCACACACACACACACACACACACACACACACACACACACTTTCAAGCTGCCATGTCCAGAACTTGAACTGTAGTTGGCTGTGTGGGAGTCTAGCACCTTAACCACTATGGCACCTGTTGGCCGTAGCATCCTGACACTTCTAAGTATTACTTGTGTTTTTCTGTGCTTGTATGTACCAGGGTAGTCTTTGATATGAATGAAGAAGATGATGAAAAGCTGGTGTGTGTGTATTTAATATAGAAACCCCAATGATTGCTGGTGTAAAGTTTCAGAATCTGCAAAACAGAAAAAGAGAATATGCATGATAAGAGATTTTTAGCCTTTCGAAGTGAGCTATGATTTGTTTTACACTGATTACTTTTCCTTCTCTGAATCTTTTCAGATTGAGCATTCTGCACAGCTAAAGGCCCAGATACTAGATTATGATTCTTCTGTGAAGAGGTTAACTGTTCAGGTTGCAGATTTAAAATTGCAACTGAAACAAACTCAGACAGGTTAGAGACATTTGTAACCCATAAGTTTTTCGTATGTGTAAAGCTTCTGACACTTGTGGAAATATAATGATCATAATTTATTGAATATTTAGTAATACTCATATTGGAGAAAAGCCATAGAAATGTTTGTCATCGTAGAAGTAAAACTCCTTGTCCATTTCAGGGATACCACCTGGGTCATCGGCTAGCCAACATGGGCATCCCACAGCTTGGAGAACCTCATGCCCCAAATAGGAAGGGAGGGATGGTGATACAGAAGTCCCCAGATTCATCCTAGGCTTTCCTTTCTTATTCATTACCCTGATGATAAGACTGATTGGCTACTTCGTAATTTTACATAGTCATTGACAGACATATACATATATTTTGGGTGCGAGAGGAGAAGCAGGGTAGCTTAGGGAAAAGAGCAGTGCCATCAAACTCAGAACCAGTTTTGTTTAGGACCCCAGTTTTGAAGTTAATTGTTTTACCTTGGGCATATTACTTTAATTTCCTTGAGCTTCATTTACTTAGTTTGCAATGGGGATAATAATACCTACTGGGCCATGATGAACAAAGATGAGATGAGGGTCCCAGTGCAGCACCCAGGACATAAAAGACACTCAGGAGGTGGTTGCTGCTGTTGGTTCATGACTGTGTCCGTACTGTGGGTGCTCACCATCCTACTTCATAAGAAGGATATTGAAACTCGGATACTTTCTTCTTTAGTTGCTTTTCAAGCTCAAAGAAAAAATATGTGTTACCAGTTCAACTGATTTCTCAGACCTTTTTCTGAGCCTTCCTCAGTCCTTGCTTGTTCTCCTTCCTCCTCAGTCCATTGTTCCCTTCTACGTGCATCACTTATTTTTTTATATATCCTTACCCATTGATAGTATTTCCCATTCCTCAGTTTATCCCAGCAGTTCTGTTTGCCAAACTGCCCACAGCTGAGATTGTAGCAGTCTTGTGTCTTGAACAGTAATGCAGTGAGGATGGAGCTCTTGCACACCCACATTGACTACTATAAGCTTGTGTCTTGTGGCATCATAGGCATTGCAGAACAGTGGGCACGTGCACCAGAAAGTCACGGTTGCTCTAAGACTTATTAACTGTATGGCCCAGCCTCAGTAGCCTCAGTAGCCTCAGTCCTTCCATCTGTAACATGGGAGCACTGAGGGTTCCTGGGCCTCAGTGTCATGAATTCCTTTATCTGAAGCTTGGACCATATACTTGGATTTCACAAGAACTCTGAGAGTTCCAGAGCAGCACCCTGCAGGGAAACACATTAATTATTTTGCAGTCAGATGCATGACTGTTCATGCTGGATGAAGTAAAGATAAAGGGTTCACATCCATTCAGGTCAAGCTCTTCAGCCACATGAGTTCGCGCCTGGTTAGAGTTTACCACCGAGTAAATTATGAATAAATTCTTGCATCTTTTGGCATTTCAGTCATGCATAACAGATTCTGAAGTATCCTAAGTTACAAATGAAAATGTAAGTAGCTGTAACTGGTCCATATTAGCTCTCAATAAATGTTAATAGTTGTTAGCCTTATTGTGATTTCAGAAACTGTTTAATGTATAAGCTCATCCTTATTTCATTAAAAAAAAATTCAAGTATATTTTAATTTTTTTTTGAGAGGTTTTTGCTATAGGGCGTGTGCGCTCACCAGAAAGACAGAGACAGAGAGACAGAAAGCAAGAAATCGCCCCCGAGGGGGGATGGCCACGCCGCAATCCCTTCTCCTCCATTCTCCTCTCAGGATCTTGGGCACGCATGCACATGCACCCGACGTGAGTTTAAGCCGCCGGGTCTGGGACTCGAACTGCAGTCAGCTACATGGGAGTCCAGCGACATAGCCATTACGCTAACTGCTGGTCCCAAGTATATTTTAATTTTATCCTTCACCTTGCCCCCTCATTTCTCAAATTATGTTTTTGTCTGCAGCTCTAGAGAATGAAGTGTACCGCAATCCAAAGTTGTCTCTGATTGATCGTTCTGTCAGTGGGTTAGTAAGTGGCCAGGTGATGCCTCACGATGGAGATATACACGGGAATTTCTTGAACAGTCCTTTCGAACAGGGAAAAGTTATGGCAAGTGCAGTTGCACCTAGGATCACAAGTTATGCACGTGCAGAGACGGAGGGTAGTCTCCCCAGTTCTGACCTGGAGTTGGTAGCTAGCACTAAGGCACGAGTCAGAGAGCTCGAACAAGAGGCTGAGTGCTTGGAAAAAGCTTTCAGAAACTACCATCGAAGAATGATTCAAAACCCCTCTAGAAGCCTGTTACCAGCCAAGAGTCCACCCTCTTTGCACCTGGCGGGTGCTCTCAGAAACATCACTCCCAGTCTTCCGGAAAGATGCGCTTTGGCAGAGGAGAGGGTTGTTTCTCCTCAGATGGGCATGCTGGAAGAGGATAAAAGCGATGCGCTCACCAGCAGTGCAGCATCCCGGCTGCGAAGGGGCACTTCCTCTAGACGCCTCTCCTCCACGCCCCTTCCAAAAGCAAAGAGAAGTCTTGATAGTGAAATGTATCTGGAAGGTAAGCCCTGGCACAGAGGACCGTGAGATGCTCTGCAGTTGGGTGGGCCTGGTCCTTATCAGCGCTCTTGCTTGAATGAGAGTAAGCCCCTGACAATGGGTTAGTGTCCATAGCACGCAGGACTCACGCCTCGGAGCCCTCCTTCAGTAGTGCTGTCTGTTCTCTGGACCTGTGCTTCCCTAGTGAACAGTGGTGTCACAGGGCTGCTATGGGAACCAGTGGGATAAAGAGCATTTGGCATGCAGAGTTCAGGGAGTGACAGTGACCATCCCTTTGCTGTTGGTTATTGTTACATATTTTAGGATTACCATTGTAGTTTAGTTTAGGTGCTTGGATTGTTAATTTTGTGGACCTTATACTTCATACTCTTCTACTTGTAAGGATAACAGCCAGAATTCATTTTCAAACTAACAGAGCTTTTTAGAAACCACATTGGTATCTTCTCCATGCAATTTGTAGTAATGTTGCCTTGGTTTCTTCTGCCCCTTAGGTCTGGGCAGATCACATGTGGCTTCCCCTAGTCCTCGTCCTGTCAGAACACCTCAGCCATCACCTGCTGAGCCACAAAGTGGCTCTGTCCCTTCCTTCTCCAGCCACTCAGAGCAGAAGGCAAGGCAAGTACCACTTCTGAATGTCTTTAGCAGAGTCACATGACATGCGGTCTCAGCCTTTACTCGTTTGGTTTTTTTAGGTGATAATAAAGATCCTCTGGCGTTATAGAATCTGTAATCAGATTGTCAGATGATTTGTGCTCTTTGAAAATCATCTGAATTACCTAGGAGAAGAAAGATTGCTTTTAACAAATAAGTGATTTTTAATTTTTTTATTACTAGAGGGCACGCACACACACCATCAGAGAAAGTGCCCCTGCAATGGGGTGTGGTCATGCCACAATCCTTTTTCCTCCATTTCTTTATCCTGTCAGGATCTTGAGCATACACTCACATGAAGCCAGCATATTTCAAGCTGTTAGGGCTGGAATTCAAGTCACAGTCAGCCATGTAGGATCTGGCTTTCTATACATAGCACTTAACTGCTACACTACAGGGCTGGCCCAATAAGTGATTCCTCCTTATTTGCTGAACTTCATGTCTATCATATGTTATATATTAATTAATATCTTCATGGTTCTATGACTAGACTCAGTTTACAAATATTAAAAGCAACATACATGGCTCAGCCACGGTGGCACAGGCGGTAGAGTGCTGCTGTGTTATACTGGAGCCATATGGGAGGCCCTAGGTTTGGATCCCAGGTCAGACTGTAAACTGGGTGTGCCCATGATTGGAAGGCTGGAGTGAGAGTCGTGGTGTAATGGGACCCTGTCAAAGGTGCTTCCCCCATGACAAAAATAAACTCAAAAAGTACCAAATCGGTAGAAGTAAATAGATTGAAGTTATTTTTAAAGTTGGAACAATTTTACACCATTAAAAAGTTCCTTTAAAAATACTTTGGCACTGGGGCCAACAGGTAGCAGGAAGTTAAGGCACTGGGTTTCCCCATGGCTGACCACAGTTCAAGTTCCATATCTGGCAGCTTGAAAATCACACTGGGCATGTGTACATGTGCTCCCAGAATCCTGAGAAGAGAATAGAGGAGAAGGGATTGCAGCATGGCCATCCTTCCGGGGGGTGGGGGGTGATTTCTTACTACTCTTTGTTTCTCTCTAGCAAGTGCACGTGTCCTATGGCAAAAACCAAAAAAAAAGGAAAAAAATTTGGCATTTAAAGATAATACATAAGGGGGAACCAGCAGTTAGCGTAATGGCTATGTCACTGGACTCCCACGTAGTCGACCGTGGTTCACGTCCCGCACCCGGTGGCTTAAAACTCATGCCGGGCGCGTGTGCGTACGTGCCCAAGATCCCGAGAGGAGAATGGAGAAGAGATTGCGGTGTGACCATCCCCCCGGGGGGGGTGATTTCTCACTTTCTGTCTCTATGTCTCTCTCTCTCTGTCTGGTGAGCGCACGTGCCCTATAGCTAAAATCTCTCCAAAAAAAAAAAATAGTAAAAGACAATACATAAGGTTTCAGTTTTTTATCACTGAAGTAAAGTAAATTGTAAAGTGATAGTGGGCTCTAGGGTATGGTTATCAAAGCAGGATGGAGTGGATGTGTTTTTTGAGGCCAGTGGGTCACCTGGGCTGTTACTCAGGTCACAGTGGGACTCCTGCTCATGCCTAGTCCCCACCATAGCAAATTCTGACTCCTTAGTTCCGAGCTTGAGCCTGAGTATCTGCATGTTTATATAGAGCTCTTATACAGAGTTGAAAAACACATGCCTATCATCATTCTAAAGCAGGGGTCCCCAACAGGCACTGTCGGGTGCCTGTCAGTGCCTATTGGGGGCCGAGCTGTGGATCAGTGCTGGTCTCGCTGATCTGCATTCATTTGTTTGCTGCTCCCATTGATCACTTTGCCACCTGGGCTCTGCCTCCTGTCGGATCAGTGGGGGTATTGGATTCTCATGGGAGTGTGAACTCTATTGTTTTGTGATTGCTTCATTGTGTATTGCAGTGTGTGTGATAGTGGTAGAAGTGGGGTTCACAGTGGATGTGGTGTGCTTGGGTCATCCTGGGACCATCCTTCCACAGTGTAGTCTGCGAGGAATTGTCTTCCACAAGGCTGGTCCCTGGTGCTGGGAAGGTTGGGGACCACTGTTCTAAAGCATTGGGTTTTCCTTACATTGTACATTCTTCTATTAAAGCCAAAAGGAAAAGCAAGGCAGTGACATGTACTTAATTAGGGCACTTTGCTACATGCTCAGGCTTGTGGGTTTCCCTCTTCAGCTGGTTCATGCTGGTGGTATACAGAATTTGTTCTTTACAGAAATGTCTTGTGGCGATTGAAAAACTAAACTCTTAGGAATAGCATTGAGAGTGCACCATTATTCTTCATTAACAATAGTAATATGATGTGGTCATGAAGAGTAACCCAGTAAATGTCTATTAACTGCTGAGGAAGGTGCCTGTTGAGCACTCAGGGCAATGCAACTATTCCTTTTTTTTTTTTTTTTTTTTTAAAGTTTATTTCTTCTATGAGAGAAAGGGTGAGAGAGAGAGACTGAAAGACAGTACCCCCGACAGGGTTGTGATACCTTGATCAATCCCTAACTTCAGCCAGCCCAAAGCATGGGCACTTGTATGCCCAGCATACTCAGAGAAGTCTCCTCACTTGAACCAGAACCCCCATGTGGGTCAGCCTTGAGAGTGTTACATTTTACTGCCAACCCACTGTCTGGCCCTTGTTCTTTATAAACCAAAGAAAAATGAAGTTTGTAAAGCATTTTCTTGATTCAAAAAGGCTTTTTGTCACCTTGTACACTTGAGTTTTATGTTATTAAATTTCAAATTTATAAATTTAATTTTTCTACTGCAGTCTTTATCAGAGAAAGAGCGAACTTCAAGACAAAAGTGAATATTCAAATCTGGACAAGCCAGCTTTTAAGGGTAATGAAAAATTTGAATATTCTGAATGTAAGTTCAAATTAAGTATGTGATGTTATAAGTTGAAAATGTAGAAAGCTTAGTTTTGTTGAAACATATCCATTGGTATAAAAAGCAAAACAGGTATGCACTAGTACATTTTTATTTTGTGTTAAGACCACATACACATATATTACCTCATTTTCTATTACTAGGTTTTCCAGAGTGCATGTAGGTTCCCTTTTTTTGGAGAGGTTTTTGCTATAGGGCGTGTGCACTCACCAGAAAGACAGAGACAGAGAGACAGAAAGCGATAAATCACCCCCCCAGGGGGGATGGCCATGCCTCAATCCCTTCTCCTCCATTCTCCTCTCAGGATCTTGGGCGCACACACACACATGCCCAGCTTGAGTTTAAGCCACCGGGTCTGGGACTCGAACTGTGGTTGACTACATGGAAGTCCAGCGACATAGCCATTATGCTAACTGCTGGTCCCTCTAGGTTCCCTTTTTAAAAAATTTCAGAATGAGTAATAATTTCAAAGTTAGAGCTAAGCCTATAAATGAATCCTTAATTTACCCAAGTAAGTGATTTTTCTTAATTTATATATTTTTTTCCTTTTTATGGAACATGAAGATTATTTTTCTTGATACTGATTCTGGCGATTATCTCAGATTTAGAAAACCTCACTCTTAGTGAAATAATAGATTTCAAAGAACACAAGGGGACTTCAAAAGGTCACGGAAACATGGAATTTAAGTGTAAGTTTATATTGTATTCAAAAGGTCACGGAAACATGGAATTTAAGTACAAGTTTATCTTGTGGCAAAACCAGTTTGCAATCCTTGCATAGTTTTCTTCATATTATACATCTACCATGAAGTTTTGGAGCACCTCTCTTACTAGCTTAAGAGTCCAGAAACTGGCGTCCTGGCTTTGGCTCTGCCTTAAGACTGTCCCTTTGCAGCCCCCTTTGTAAATGTAAAATAAGGATGCAGTTGATCATCTCTGAGACTCTGATCAGCTTGAGAAATCTCCACGTTTGTATATAGCCTCTTGGATAGCCATGGAAACTTCATTGTCAAATCTGCAAGTATCATATCATAAGAGTCAAATGAAGAGGACTTAGTAACTTTTGTGAAGTAAACTTAGTAAACTTTTTAACATGCCAGTTAGGAGGACTTTGTTAAATTATTGTGCTTTATTTATAGGGCATGTGTGCTAACCGGAGAGTGACAGTGAGAGAGAAAGTGAGAAATCACCCCCCAGGGAGGATGGCCATGCCATAATCTCTTCTTTATTCTCCTTTTGGGATTTTGGGCATGAGTACACATGTGTGCGCTCGCCTGGCGTGATTTTCAAGCTGCCAGGTCCAGCACTTGAACCATGGTCAGCCATGTGGGAGTCCAGCACCTTAACCACCATGGCACCTGCTATCCCAAATCATTGACACATAAATAGCATTCAAATGATTATCAGCAATGATTATCAGCAAGCATTCAAATGATTATAGCTTGATTTTTCTGTTGAGTGATGAATCCAGTGCTATAAACAAATATAATTGTTTATAGTATAAGAACCTTTGAGAGAGACTAGCAGATGGCGTAATGGTTACATCGCTGGACTCCCACATGGTGGGCCATGGTTCGAGTCTCAGGCCTGGTGGCTTGAAACTCAGCCAGGTGTGTGTGCGTGCATTCCCAAAATCCTGAGAGAATGGATTGCGGCATGGGC